CGATACAGCGTTGTTCACGATACATTGTTATTGTGCATTTGGAAACGAATCCCGATAATTAATACGATACGTATACACGGACTTTGTGAAACACCTTGATAACATGTGAAGTTTAAAGTATTTGTCTTGCGACACAGTTCTTGACGCAAATTAATTTCCGAAGGTTGAAAATAAGTAAGCATATATAACAATGTCAAAGGTACATATAAACTTTAATGGAGGGATCATGAGACCATAACAAGTCGGGAGAATTTCAATTGAAAAGTCAGTCACAATGACGTCACGAGTCCACAAGCGGGACAGGGGTCAAACAACAATGTTTCATGCTCAATAACGGATATGTCCACCATCGGCATTGAGAACAGCAGTGCATCGACGACGCGTAGAGCCTATCAAACGTGAAAGGAAGGCTTGTGGGATGTCACGCCAGATTCTCTCAAGTTCTGCTGCAAGGTCAAGGACGTTATCTGGCGGATGAGGAAGACGGCGTAGATGTCGATCCATCTCGTCCCAAACATGCTCTATCGGGAGAGAGATCCGGTGAATTTTCAGGCCAAGGCAGTAAGTCAACGTTGTGGGGTTGCAAGAAATCCATAGCAACCCTTGCCGTATGAGGGCGGGCATTGTCCTGTTGGAATGTTAACCCAGGGCCATGACGTTGCAGAAAAGGAATTGCCACAGGTCGAAGAATCTGATCCCTGTAGCCCACACCAGTTAAGATGCCCTGAATAATCACCAAAGGAGTTCTTTGGCGTGCTGTTATTACACCCCAAATCATCACGGAACCACCACTAAAGCGATTCCTCTCCAAGAGACAGGCCTGTGCATAACGTTCTCCCACGTCTATAGGCACGTTGACGTCCATCACTATGGGAAATGTTAAACCTGGACTCATCTGTAAAACAACATTTCTCCACCAAAGGGTCTGCGGACATGATTTCGGCACCACATTCGGCGAGCTTGTCGATGACGTTGTGTCAGGATAGGCCGTATGGCGGGACGTCGTGGTCTGATCCCGTGATGACGTAAACGTTGTCGAACTGTGATGGGGTGGATACGGCGAAGTCCTGGGATGGTTCGGGCAGTCATCACTGCAGTCTGAAACCTGTGGCGAAGATGGGTCACCCTTATCCATCTGTCCTGTCTTGGCGTTGTAACACGTGGACGTCCAGAACGTGGCCGATCTATGACGTCATTTGTGTTCTGGTAGCGTCTCACCAGTGCAGAAATGGTGTTCCGGTGGCAGTGGAATGTGCACGAATTGCACGTCTCAAGGACGAACCCACTGACGTCACGGAACGTGGCACGTGCATGCATGTTGGATACATGTCACTAATCTCTGAGTTTAAATCCTTATGTGTCTACACAGGTTTGATAAATTTAGATTTTAAATTTTTGTATGCACAGTTTCTTTATGTGCCTAGTATAATTTAATCATCAAACAAAAACTAAGTCTTTTTCTTGACAGATATCGCGATTCGGCAATGTTCAAAGTTAAACATCGATGTTTAACATTTGACGTATCGTATCGGAATATCCGACTATGTAAAACTTTGTATCGATTCACTGTATCGGCGGCCCATGGATCGATGCATCGATGAGCATCAATGAATGCACACCACTATGAAAAATATGGCGATATGGTATAAACAGGTGCCCACTGATTGGAATGGTTGGCCCGGCTGAAATAGTTGATCCTATGGCCAAAGTAGGCCCATAATGGACATAGTTCGCCCTATGACCTAAGCATGTGTCCCCTAGTTGAAATAGCTGACCCTATGACCTAAGCAGGTGTCCCCTAGTTGAAATAGTTCGCCCTATGACCTAAGCAGGTGTCCCCTAGTTGAAATAGCTGGCCCTATGACCTAAGCAGGTGTCCTCTAGTTGTAATAGTTGGCCCTATGACCTAAGCAGGTGTCCCCTAGTTGAAATAGCTGGCCCTATGACCTAAGCAGGTGTCTCTAGTTGAAATAGCTGACCCTATGACCTAAGCAGGTGTCCCCTAGCTAGTTGGCCCTATGACCTAAGCAGGTTGTCTCCTAGTTGAAATAGCTGGCCCTATGACCTAAGCAGGTGTCCCCTAGTTGTAACAGCTGGCCCTGTGACCTAAGCAGGTGTCACTAGTTGTAATAGCTGGCCCTGTGACCTAAGCAGGTGTCCCCTAGTTGTAATAGCTGTCCCTGTGACCTAAGCAGGTGTCCCCAAGTTGTAATAGCTGGCCCTGTGACCTAAGCAGGTGTCACTAGTTGTAATAGCTGGCCCTATGACCTAAGCAGGTGTCCCCTAGTTGCAATAGCTGGCCCTGTGACCTAAGCAGGTGTCCCCTAGTTGAAATAGCTGGCCCTATGACCTAAGCAGGTTTTCTCTAGTTGTAAGAGCTGGCCCTATGACCTAAGCAGGTGTCTCTAGTTGTGTAATAGCTGGCCCTATGACCTAAGCAGGTGTCTCCTAGTTGAAATAGTTGGCCCTATGACCTAAGCAGGTGTCCCCTAGTTGGTTAAGTGACCTCAGGCGTCCCCTATAACCTAGGTGTCTCTAGTTGTAAGCTGACCCTATGACCTAAGCAGGTGTCTCTAGTTGTAATAGCTGGCCCTATGACCTAAGCAGGTGTCCCCTAGTTGTAATAGCTGACCCTATGACCTAAGCAGGTTTGCCTAGTTGAAATAGCTGGCCCTATGACCTAAAACAGGTGTCCTCTAGTTGAAATAGCTGGCCCTATGACCTAAGCAGGTTTTGCCTAGTTGAAATAGCTGGCCCTATGACCTAAGTAGGTTTCCCCTAGTTGTAATAGCTGGCCCTATGACCTAAGCAGGTTTTGCCTAGTTGAAATAGCTGGCCCTATGACCTAAGCAGGTTTTGCCTAGTTGAAATAGCTGGCCCTATGACCTAAGCAGGTTTTGCCTAGTTGAAATAGCTGGCCCTATGACTAAAGCAGGTTTCCCCTACTTGTAATAGCTGGCCCTATGACCTAAATAGATGTCCCTTGGCTGAAACAGTTGGTGATGGCTAGATTTGTTAGGCCTATAACTGAAAGATGTACCTGGAATACGTGGAACTTGGACCAGATACCATGGTTTAAACTATAATTTAGATATATTTCCGTTTTTCTGTCCATCTGAAATGATGACATCGTGTGTATTACTGTATGTTGTATGGATTTTCGAAATAGTGCCCAGCAGATGTTAATGTAATTCCTTCATAACAACAGCTGTCTAAACAGGTGCCCCCATCAAATTTGACCTCTCTGATTCCAAAACACGGTTCCTTGATCCATCAATCAATGGTTGGATTAAAGAACTTTAGCTGGCCTTGACGTAAAACCAATCAACCCAACGCTAATTCCGCTAATTGAAATCGTTAACCTTGAAATTATACGGTAGGTGACCCAGAGCTGAAAAATAGGCCCACTGATTAGAGTGGATGCTTCAAATTGAACCGTCTCTTCTGGCATATCCCCACGGTGCGTTACTGAGGGTCCCGAGCAAGTCCGCCCAGCAGGGAGACGTGTATCGGTGAACCCAGACACAACCCATATGGCCACCTGTAATGGCGAGTACACTGTGTGTAAGGTATATGAAGTGTTGAGACAACACGATCTGGCAACTACCGGCGTGTTGCTCTACATGTGGTGTTACTTGCCGATTGCTTTTACATTGTGAAAGACATGATTATTGGGTCTGCAGGATTTGCCATAAACCTGTCTGTACTGTGTCATGTATTCCACATATGTTTTTCCTTGCTTCGTGATATACCAGTGCTGTATATATATATATATATAGGTATATATATATATATATACCCCTTGCATGACTATGGATTGCTATATAAAACAACGTGCACATGTGACGTGTAAACGCTTCGTGTGGTGGTGTTTGGACTGGGGAATGTTCTATGAAAAGGACTATCTGGATCTGGTGGAGTGGAATTGAGTGGAGTGGTGTATTTGTGTGGGGTGAAGTAGGATGGAGCGGAATTAAGTGGAGCCGAGTAGGGAGAAATGGGGCAGGGTGAGTGGTTTTGAGGGGAGTTTGGAGGAATGGAGCAGGGTGGAACGGTTTTGAGGGGAGTTGGAGGAGCGGAGCAGGGTGGGCGGTTTTGACGGGAGTTTGGAGGAGTGGAGCGGTTTTGACGGGAGTTTGGAGGAGTGGAGCAGGGTGGAGCGGTTTTGAGGAGTGGAGCAGGGCGGGCGGTTTTGACGGGAGTTTGGAGGAGTGGAGCAGGGTGGGCGGTTTTGACGGGAGTTTGGAGGAGTGGAGCAGGGTGGGCGGTTTTGACGGGAGTTTGGAGGAGTGGAGCAGGGTGGAGCTAAGTGGGTAAGGATGGTGCAGGGTGGAGTGGTTTTGAGGGGAGTTTGGACGAAATGTGCAGGTTAGAGGGGCTTTGATGGTAGTTTGGAGGAATGGAATAGGAAGGGAGCGGTTTGGCGGGGGAATGAAGTGTGTCGAGTGGATTGGGGAGAAGTGGATTATGATTGAGTTGAGTGGAGAAGGGAGGAGTGAAGAGGAGCGGAATGGAGCGGAGTTGGGTAGAGTTAAGTACAGTAGTTTGTACTGGGCAGATGGAGTATAGAGTTTTACTTGACATTTCTCCTGTTTATCACAACGCTGGAAGTTAGGAACTTGCAATTGATATACGTATTTTATAAACGACACGCCTGTCCTAACATGAAGGGAATGATTCACACACAGCGCGCCAGGAACATTGCCGCTCCCCATACAAACACAAGCCTGGCACTTTCAAATGTTTACAGGATTCCACAGTATTGCAGTGGTGTGCTCTAAAAGATCTCTCGGTACATTTAAAGGCATACTAGTATATCGACATGATACATGTCCGCCACTGTAAACGAAGTGTAACATAAAAACATGGTTGGAGGAGGATGGATTTCAAAAACAAATTAAGTTTTCGAAACTGTCTGTTAGCCTGGCTGTCAGAACCCCGCGTTACTGATTTATCGCCACACCTCATCGTAACCCCCTTATTTGAAATATCGATCTTACCGTTGAATGGGATCCTAACTGTGAAGAATGGAACATCTTTGCCTGCATCCTCTGATCTTCCGATTCCGCTACCTCCATACTTTCCATGAGTGGGGCTAACTTGGGTCCCACCCTCCCGTCCTTCGCAGTCGACTGTTGCACATGCACTGTCTTTACCGACGAAGAGGACGCAGCGGCGTTTTGTCCCGGTCCAGGCCACGTCCCCGTGCCTGGCTTTCTGACCGGGAACTCCACGTTATCATACGGTGCAGCTTCCATCAATTGTTATCACTGGAAGTTCACAGATCTGAAGAGAAATTAAACAGCTCCACAAACACCGAGCGAAGACGTACTGAACTTAGCTCTCCGAATCTCATGAGCGAATAGAAGAAAGCTGGAGAACTCTCTCCGTCTCTGCTGAAAGCAAGTGAGCCTATCCTGGCCTGGACGAGGAGATTCCTCACGTGGAACCCGATATCTCCAGCTGCCTGTATGCCAGCTCGTCTGCTACTGTGTAAGCAGACGATATGATGCCAGGCCGGGTTGGGAATGGCGGGAAAAGGGAATCCTAGGAGAACGCGAAGTGTTTTACGTATGTCAGTCAAGTCCGAGGTCAAGAACTTTCCAGCTACTTGTCGTCAAACATGTGTGAAAAATATGTGAAAGGTAGAAAATCATATCCTACACACAGAAAAGTGGTTCCCAGATTTCATTCCCTTTCATTCATGCATGAGTGTGATAAAACGACACATGTGCCAATAATCATAACATGCTACGAAAAACGTAAATCAATATAGCACACAGTCTCTACCCAGTTTCTACAAATACAGTTTAAACTGAAGACGGCAGTCCGTTCACAAGCGCCGATCGCAACACGTTTGACATCCAACAAAACATGATCGAAACACATTGAAAGGCATCAATCCATTCTCACTGTAAGACGCGACCACAGCTGGCCTGGGTCGACAGCCCATATACTCCATACATTGATTCGAATTATAAACACAAGAACCAATATTCAGACTATATCACAAGCGGACAAGCGCATCCTCCTTCTGTCAACACAGGCGTAATTATTTTCGCAGCCCCACCCACCATAGTATAAATCTGTTAACCTGGCCGGACTGTCCGGAAAGCAATTAACCGTACAACGGCTGTGGTCGTCTCGCGACGCCTCTGACAAATGGCAGATGGCGATGATATGGTTGGTCACTTACTGCGGCCGTTGCGTGTCCAGTTAGCGGTCAGTAAAGCAGCTAAACACAAGTAGCTTTCATCCCCGACGCACGTCTTTCAACTGGGAAGGCTTATCTTTAGGTAGTGATTGATTCTAACACTTTGCATGCTATTCCTTTGTAGCAGTTTGACAGGAAGTGTGTGATAGTATCAACGGTGAAGGGGCCATATGTCTCCGTGGTCTAGCGGATAGAGCGACTTATGGGACTGTGGAAGGTCGGTGTTTGAATCCCGGCCGGGTCATACCAAAAGACTTTACAACATGGTAACTGATATCAACCTGACTGATCCTTGGCATTAAGAGATTTAAACAAGGACTTAAAACCCTACCTTACCCTACCCTACCACATGACACCAGTCCCCACTCTACACACCTTACCAGACCACATCTCACGTCAGATTATCTCACCTCACCTCACCAATTGTCACATCACGTCACGTCACCTCTCCATCTCATCACCTCACCACATGTCACGTCACCTCATCTTACCTCACCACATGTCACGTCACGTCACCTCATCTTTCCTCACCACATGTCACGTCACGTCACCTCAACTTATCTCACCACCTGTCACGTCACGTCACCTCATCTTACCTCACCACCTGTCACGTCACGTCAAAGAGCAGTGCCATGGACATGTTTTGTGGTTTTTCCACCAACAATGGCGTGAATACTCCTTGAATACTCTGACCATCTGCTTACATTTATTACCGAGTATGTATGAGAAAGATGTCTTCAATTTAATTTGTAGAAATTATACTTCTCATTTAATCTTTTAATTATATCCTTAACCCTTTAGTCCACTCGCTCGTTGAATCGTTCATTCATTTCCGTCTTCCTTCTTTCATTCTACACATGCTAATATACACATGCTAATATACACATGCTTACGCTGAAGGGGTCGTTGTCGGCACGGGTACTATAGATATGTACCCCAGGTACGAGAATTCAGAAACGTACTCTAGGACGATTCCATTCCCACTGTGTCGTATTCTTGACCGGAACTGTCATACTGTTGTATTAGATACATTTGATTGCGTTATATAAGTAATGAGAATACACAGTAACGGATATTTCGCGATGCACATGAATACCACTCGGAATCAGTTGAACGGGAACAATTACATACGGTTTCGGTTTTGGATCACGGAATATGGACTCGTCCGCCTTTTAGGGTACCGGGTACGTTTCTGTATTTTGACTTTGTTTATGGTACATATCTGTATACAGAAACGTACCTGGGGTACGTATCTGTAGTACCTGTGCCGACAACGACCCCTTCAGCCATGCTTACACCATCCCTATAGATGTATGCATGGACCTCCCATCAACATAGCACCTTCCATTACTACAATGTAGCATCATTCCTCAAAGTCATATGATATTAATGACCGATGTTAACATGTCTCATTATTTAAGTGTCGACACACAACTCGTGTATATACATCCATCACAGTTGTCTCCTCTCGCATACCCCCAAGTCGTACCTGATTCACCAAACATCTAGTTCCCCAACCCTACTGTGTATTATGTGTACAGGGCATTAACTGCATTACATGCTGTCCCCCACACTGAGCTAATGCACCTATAGATACACACACACACACACACACACACACACACACACACACACGCACGCACGCACGCACGCACGCACGCACGCACGCACGCACGCACGCACGCACGCACGCACGCACGCGCACGCACGCACACACACACACACACACTTGTTTAGTCACACGCAGTTTGTGCAAATCTTGTTTAATCATCAGTCTTTGAATAACTCGAAGTATTTAATTAGGTCCCTTCAACTTCGACTCAATGATGTTTGTATATATACGTGTATACACTTCATTCTTGAATTGTTTTACAAATATACAAAATAAAATTAAAGATATCTTCTTTCTCAACCTTACAGCATATGCATTAGCGGTGGGGTGGCTTAGAGGTTAAATCGTTCGCTCATCAAATCGAAGATCCGGTTTCGATTCCCATTTCTGGTCCCCCTCCGTGATATTGCTGGAATATTGCTCAAGGTGGCGTAAATCGTAATTCACTAACTCCACTATATATGATGTTCATACATTGTACCCATGTGGGGAATCGAACCCGGATCTTCGGCGTGATGCGCGAACCCTTTAACCACTGGGCTACCCCACCGCCCATAGATATATTGTAAGGTGAAACAAGAAAATATCGTTCATGTCATATGTATACAAAATGGAATGCTAAATTTGGCAATCTTGACTCGCCAAATCATTGTAGACTTCATTTGGGTTCCTTTCTTAACGTTATTCTCCAGTATGTAGGAGACAGATGTACGTACATGTGATAGACATGTATGTGTTTTGTTGAGGTAAGGTTGTCCTGACACAGTAGAGATTGACTGCGAAATTGAGGGGAGCAGGGGTTGGTGGTGTAAAAAGCATAAGTGTTTCAAGGCCTGTCCCAGTAATGCCATTTAGTAAAAAACTCGACACTTTTGATGTCAAGAAGCTGCATCCGATCATTATAGGAAATCCTTTTTGTAACGCGAGCTGTCAATTATACACACTCGTGACTACCAGAAAATTATACTGTACACGTCATCGGGATTATTTCTTTTCATATGTTCTGTATTCACGTCGTTTTGTATTATGTAAACTGCCGTACAAAAGAGTGAGTGAGTGTGGTTTTACGCCGCCTTTAGCAACGTTCCAGCAATATCACGGCTGGTGACACCAGAAATTGGCTTCACACATTGTACCCATGTGGGGAATCGAACTCGGGTCCTCGGCGTGACGAGCGAACGCTTTAACCACTAGACTACCCTACCACCCAACATACAAAAGAAAGTACACTTTCGCTTTCGGATTATTTTCACAATGACACAATGTCGATGTACGTCACTATCAAAACACTTTTCGAATTTTTTTTTTTTTTTCAGGTTTTAAACGTTTACAGCTTCGGGGAACCCACGGGTGCCGACAAACCCGGAAACCTAACCAGGACGAATCTGGATTCGAACACACGATCATAAGTTTCAGTCATGCCTGAGTGCTATTAACGGTAGATGAGTGAGTGAGTATGGTTTTATGCCGCTTTTACCAACATACCAGCAGCATCACGGCGGGGACACCAGAAATGGGCTTCACACATTATACTAATGTGGAGAATCGAACCCGGGTCTTCAGTGTGACGACAGGACGCTTTAACCAGTAGGTTTTCCCACCGCCCCAATGGTGTATGACGTTCACAATGCATGACGCATGTGTGCGGTATGCGTTACCCTTTGTGAGTTACTCTTTCCTCTAACTCTGTCTCAATTTACTGATAATCTCACATGTGGCCACAAACTTTTGACATTTTCAGCGCTACCATAAATATTGTCGTCAACGGTCGTGAAGTCGAGACCTATTATAGCTGCCTCGGTGACAGTGTGGATGAACCATGGGCTTTTGACATCAGCAGAGACGAGGGGTTCGGTGGCTCGGTACTTCTAAATGTCACAACCAAAGTAAACTTAAATCAAGTTCAAACGCCTGCTACTCTTTTCAGGATTCATTTATAAACATAGCGGAAATAACATGTGTTTCAACAAACATTGTCATCTATCACAGCGGATATCATAAACTAAAAAGTGTTTTTCTGAATAACCTCCTTGTCGTAATTCCGAAAAAGCGAAATAATCATGCATTATTTCATATTTATAGCGGAATAACTGCTTTGGTTGAAAGACTTGAGAGATCCTACAAACGTAGAAGGAGAGAGTGCCGGCAATCAAGAATATCATAGCGGGTGACACCAAGAGCGAGTTTAGTTTTATGCAACGTTTAGCAATATTCCAGCAATATCACGCGGGGGACACCGGAAAACTTCACACATTATACCCATGCGGGGAATCGAACCCGGATCTTCCGCGTGACGAACGAACGCTAACACACACACACACACACACACACACACACACACACACACACACACACACACACACACACACACACACACACACACACACACACACACACACACACACACACACACACACACACACACACACACACACACACACACACACACCATGGTGACACCATGAATGTGACCATTTGGACTCAGCAAAGTGTCTCAGATCATGTCGACATAGTTCACTAAGGTTAGATAAGAGATGGTTGACATCTTTTACTACAATAGATTAAATTGATAAAGCAATGAAGATTTTATAGAAAAACATATACGAAAGAACGAATTTCGGAATGAAAAGAAAGGTATCATATTTACTGTTAGGAAAACTGGTTTGAGTGAGGCTGAAGCCTTAATAGTATCAATACCTTTGCTTCTAACGATCAGTGATCACAGCTGTCGGTTATAATATCGTGTTATATATTATAAAATGCATGTTACCTTACTAACGAGCTCACCTATGTAGAAACTCCTCCGAAACAGTCTGTCTGGGTTGGTTTAACGTGCGAAGTCTGAGACACGAAAACCTCTCTCACAAGTCCGCTATTCTTGATATGAAACACATTAACCAGGCACAATTATAAAATGTCACAGTACTAGCGGGCCCAATTAAGAGAATTATGGCGATTAACCATGTGATTACCATGTAATGACTGACATTTCCTAACACGTGTGAAATATACACAACTTGGGAGGTATGATTTCCGTTTCGTTGACATTGGCGTTCAGTCACAGGTCTGAAATATACATAATCAACCGCCTGTCCCCATCTCATAATGTGACGTAATATCAGGAAAAGTCTGTGGCGATAATGAACCTGACGACACGTTATGCTCAGTAAGGGCTAGATATATCGTACACAATCAGTTGATACCATATAACATAATGTAGGGAGGCGGTTACTATAACAGAAATGTAATATTTGATTGACAGCACTGTCAGTTTTATTGCCTGTATATGGGGTGGCATATATATATTTTAAACTGACAACATAAGATGTGTCTACTTCACTAAATGGAAAATAAATATGACAAGTTATGAGATTGTTATATTCTGAACATGTGTTTGGTTGAGCTTCAGTGTTTTTGGTTTGTTTTCCCAACGCAGGGTAATCATAAAGCGTACGTCGGAGCCTGGTGTACTGGCCCAGGGAGGAACCTGAAGAATGTGAAGATCCGGGTTAAAATTGACTTCAGTTACCTATGATTAGATGAATCGGGTGGTCAGGCTCGTTCACTTGTTCCATAAGACTAACTTACAAAATTCTATAACCTCCACGTTCCCGCCCTGATAGTGATAGAATATTGTTAGAAGCGACGCACAATCCAGCTCACTCACCCATGCCATATACATGTACTGACTGACTGAGGGGGTTTTATTCACTTTTAGCAATATTCCAGCAACATCATAACTTTACATAGGAATATAACTTCCACCCTTACCCATGTGATAGATTAGAACCTGGGTCTATGACGAGCGAACGCTTTAACCACTAGTTCTACCCACCGCCCCCATATACATGTAGATATAGAACGTCAGTATCAGTGCATTTGGATGTTTTGTATTGAACAAGAAGATGTCATGGGAGCAGGGAAACAACGAGTTCGAACATGTACCCTAAGTTGACATTGGTATATAGTAAAGCTAGAGATCATTTGAATATTCAAACCATTGTTAAAGCCCTTGACTTTTTGTCAACTTTGATTGTCAAAATGATACATTTTTGCATCATATTTTAGACCCAAATATATAGAGAGGGTTACAAACGACAGAAAATGCGTATTTTCACCGTGTATCTTTAAGTAGTATCTTTGATATTTTATCAGAGTACACTCACCATTACTCAAATTATGCCACTGTTTATCAAATACATAATAACTGTTTTATTAAATGTTACTACACAGCTTACACGTGTAGGGCCACGTTATATTTTAGGTCCCTTCATTCAGTATGTCATGAAGATTCGTCCACACTGATATTCCGCATTGATATTGCGCTTTGAGCATGCACCTTGTGGATGGCTGCAGCGCTTTATAATCATCATTATATTCCCACCTTGCCCGCGTTCGTTTGCTTTTCTTGTTTGTTTGTTGTTTAACGCCGCACTCAACAATATTCCAGCTATACTGCAACGGTCTGTAAATAATCGAGTCTGGACCAGACGATCCTGTGATCAACAGCATGAGCATCGATCTACGCATTTGAGGATACGATGGCACGTGTCAACCAAGTCAGCGAGTGTGAAGCCAGCAATTTTAATCCAGATCTTCAAGGGTTCGTTGCTCTTCAAACAGGGTGTTACACGCCTTACGGACATGCGACTCTGTCACAAGAGGCTTCTAAAAGGACTGGGTGGCTCTACGGCACTTTGTATCTTTGGAGTGAGTGAGTGAGTTTAGTTTTACGCCACACTGAGCAATATTCCAGCTATGTGGCTGCAGCCTGTAAATAATCGAGTCTGGACCAGGCAATCCAGTGATCAGAAGCATAAGCATATATCTACGCAACTGGGATACGATGACATGTGTGAACCAGGTCAACGATAACTTCTTTGAGTTGAGTGAGTGAGTTTGGCTTTACGCCGCTTTTAGCAATATTCCAGCAACATCACGGCGGGGGACACCAGAAATGGGCTTCACACATTGTACCCATGTGGGGATTCGAACCCGGGTCTTCGGCGTGACGAGCCAACGCTTTAACCACTAGGCTACCCCACCGCCCCCTGAAGAATGTGAAGATCCGGGTTAAAATTGACTTTGAGTAACCTATGATTAGATGAATATCGGGTGGTCAGGCTCGTTCACTTGTTCCATAAGACTAACTTACAAAATTCTATAACCTCCACGTTCCCGCCCTGATAGTGATAGAATATTGTTAGAAGCGACGCACAATCCAGCTCACTCACCCATGCCATATAGATATAGAACCACAGGGGCGTGTCACGCTTAGAAACAGCGTTAGAAAGACATATAGGTATATAGACCCTACCCTAGTACTATATAGTACCAGGGTCTATATACCTATATGTCTTCTAACGCTGTTTCTAAGCGTGACATTTGGATCATATTAAAAAGTACTTTACTGCATTTGGATGTTTTGTATTGAACAAGAAGATGTCATGGGAGCAGGGAAACAACGAGTTCGAACATGTACCCTAAGTTTACATTGGTATATAGTAAAGCTAGAGATCCTTTGAATATTCAAACCATTGTTAAAGCCCTTGACTTTTTGTCAACTTTGATTGTCAAAATGATACATTTTTGCATCATATTTTAGACCCAAATATATAGAGAGGGTTACAAACGACAGAAAATGCGTATTTTCACCGTGTATCTTTAAGTAGTATCTTTGATATTTTATCAGAGTACACTCACCATTACTCAAATTATGCCACTGTTTATCAAATACATAACTGTTTTATTAAATGTTACTACACAGCTTACACGTGTAGGGCCACGTTATATTTTAGGTCTCTTCATTCAGTATGTCATGAAGATTCGTCCACACTGATATTCCGCATTGATATTACGCTTTGAGCATGCACCTTGTGGATGGCTACAGCGCTTTATAATCATCATTATATTCCCACCTTGCCCGCGTTCGTTGCTTTTCTTGTTTGTTTGTTGTTTAACGCCGCACTCAACAATATTCCAGCTATACTGCAACGGTCTGTAAATAATCGAGTCTGGACCAGACGATCCTGTGATCAACAGCATGAGCATCGATCTACGCATTTGAGATACGATGGCACGTGTCAACCAAGTCAGCGAGTGTGAAGCCAGCAATTTTAATCCCGATCTTCAAGGGTTCGTTGCTCTTCAACAGGGTGTTACACGCCTTACGGACATGCGACTCTGTCACAAGAGGCTTCTAAAAGGACTGGGTGGCTCTACGGCACTTTGTATCTTTGGAGTGAGTGAGTGAGTTTAGTTTTACGCCACACTCAGCAATATTCCAGCTATATGGCGGCAGCCTGTCAATAATCGAGTCTGGACCAGGCAATCCAGTGATCAGAAGCATAAGCATCTGTCTGCGTAACTAGGATACGATGACATGTGTCAACCAGGTCAACGAGAACTTCTTTGAGTGGCATTTTAGAGTGAGTGAGTGAGTTTGGCTTTACGCCGCTTTTAGCAATATTCCAGCAATATCACGGCGGGGGACACCAGAAATGGGCTTCACACATTGTACCCATGTAGGGATTCGAACCCGGGTCTTCGGCGTGACGAGCGGACGCTTTAACCACTATAAATATAGGCTACCCCACCGCCCCGCATTTTAGAAGTTGGGAAGTACAATACTGAGCACATTTTATGGATAAAAACGATTGTGGTACCGCTGTCAAGCGTTCTTGTTGTAATCCATAAGGTTTGTTCTATACAGGTCAACAACGAGCCTGACCACCCGATCCCGTTAGTCGCCTCCCATGACAGGCACGGGTTGCTGAAGACAAATTTAAACCCGGATCTTCAAGGGTTCGGTGCTTTTCAACAGGGTATTAAACACCTTAGACACGAGACTCTGTTACAAGAGGCTTCTAAAGGATGATTGGGTGGCTATACACACACTATGTATACGGCTTCTTGCACCTTTGGAATGGACAGGATGTGACTGTGCCAGAGATTTGGCGATTTGTTTGCCTCCTGGTGTGTAATCCAGCTCTCACACGCACGCACATTTAATAAAGACCCAGGATAATAACAATTTAATAAGGACCACGATAACCTATTTATTTAGACTAACTAATCTCTAAATATATATGTTTGATAGAAATAAATAATTCCATTTATATTGAAAAGGAGTCAGAGTGAGATGGGAGATTCAGTCCTGAGGAAATCTAGACTTACTTCATTTTAGGCTTTGGCATTGCAGAAAGGGCTGGGCGGAAGAGAATCAACGCGGTTCAGGACTGCATTATCCTTGCTCCAAGCAGGGATAATCTACAACACGTTATATAGTCTCCCTGCTCCAAGGCTGTACTTGGGTGTAATTCTGTCCTTTAAAGAGGCATGTCTAGATAAGCGGACAGTACATTTAAGACCCCAGTCTGTTATTTACATATATATGTTTTAGAAATTATCATTTTAAACTATTAATTATTACCCTAGGGACTTATGCAAGTCTTGGACTGCAATGTGAGATAGTCTACGTATATTTTATGAACGCTTTGAAAGTGAAGCTCAAAGGGAAATAACCCTGATATCCGTCGCATAATCACGTGACGTACCATATGACCACCATCATACATCAACAAGATGGCAACCAAAGACAGATTGAACATTTTCCCGTCTCGGATGTAAGTATTCCAAAAGATATCAGATCATTTTTATAAAGTATAGACAGTAGTGCGTCATAATATATCAAACGTTGATCGATTCGCTGTAATATAACGTGTTTGGTCGCCAGTCGCCGGTAAAATTGTCACGATGCCCTTGCAGTACAAATGACACATTGACTCGTCCTCTAGGCCTTTTCGAGAAATTGAGAAATGTAAAGTTTCACATGTTATTGCACATTGCTGAGAAAGTTGTCGAATTCTGTTTAAACAAAAATAATTTATATTCTGATAGTATCACGTCCGTGAACTAGATACAAAGATAGAAACACAAATGTCAGTAAGGTCTCGTGTTTATAATGACACTCATGGACATCCGTATGTCGACATGCGAGAGTCACTAGGAGTAGCTGTGGCCCAGGGCAGTCGGTTCTGTCATACCGAGGTCACCTTTAGTCCATTGCAGTGCATACCTGTGTCAAACTCTTTAAAAATTGCATAGCTTTAATGTTACCTCACCTTTGCAGTTTGAATATGGAAATCAGCATCAAGTCACACATGAATCATCCGATGAAAATTAGATTATATGAATATTGCTTTGAAAATTCAGTGACATTTCTCAAGTGATTGAACTTCCTTGACACGAAGATATATCATCAGGTCATAGGGCTGGGACGATACACTATGTCACGATACGATACATATCGCGATATTTTACCTGCGATACGATACGCTTCACCATACATACACCTTGAAAGAATGACACAGTGTTAAGATTTAAAATGATTTATTTCAGGGTATTTGTGTATAACAATAACACTATTGTAACAAACAAACAAGTAACTCTATCATACATGCATATTTTTCTCTAAATAAGTACTTTAACGTGTTTAATACTAATACTGTTTTGAAAAAAGTTGTGTATCGGTTTGTATCGATACACCAGTCAACGATACGATAGCTGTATCAAACTTAAATGTATCGTGATGTATCAGTGAATCGTCCCAGCCCTATCAGATCATAGGTTTTAGGACGGCAATGCTGTCAGGCTGTAATGAGGGGGCATTTTTAATTCTTGAATGATGGCTTGTGTTTTGGATGAAGTTATCATTAATAAGTTAGTGACATTTTTTACAACTGTTCAAGTGATAATCGAGACAGCAAAACAGATGTTCTTACGTGACCGAAACCCACAGCACGAGGATGATGTCTGGAGCCCATTCTTGTCTGAGAATTTTTTAAAAAACTTTGTAATCTTGATTTTTCTCATGATGAGTCCTCTCACATCAGCATGGTCAGGCAACAAGTAATTGATAAATTTCTGACTCTTGATGTTGGTGCCACTTGCTTTCTGTCAGTAACTTCTTTAGGCATAGCTTATTGTGTGATTTGTGAGGTGATTTGGGTAGGGCTACAATTCACTGTGCAGTTGTTCATCTTAGACATGCCAGATACCTGTAAAAGAGTATTTGAATGTTAGCCCTGGTCACAGATTTGGCTACTCAGCACAAGGACTGCCTCTGTGGTGTAGTGGTTAGAGCGTCCGCCCGGGAGAGCGGAAGGCCGTGGGTTCGATCCCCACCCGCGTCATACCAAAAGACGTTAAAATATGGTACTTGTTGGTCCCTGTGTGGCGCTCGGCATTAATGGGTAGAACAAGGACTGGTCGGCTTGGAGTCAGTATAATGTGTCTGAGTGGGGTATTTCTGCTTCACTGCGGCATGGTATCTCAGTGGGCTAGCACTAAAACCAGCTTCAGTCTGGGCTAGTACAAGCAGACGCACATACACACGCATGAACGTCGTCATATGAGCGAAATTTTCTCAAGCACGACGTTACACCCAATTTCACCTCACCTCACCTCACTCAGCACAAGGTCTCTGTTCTTGGGGTTACATTAAATCATCAACAATGCAGACCTCATCATTCTGCTTTCAAATCAGACTCACTCATTATTGTCTGACTAAATAAACAAACACACATTCAACGTGACTTTTCTAATTGGTTTAAAATATGTTTACAAAAGTCACAGTAGTGTTCAGCATATTCAGAATGATTAGTAGCTTCCAAACGTCAAAAGACTAATGACGATCTATTTCTACTCTCTCACTCCTCAGTCATCACGCCGAAGACCCAGGTTCAGTTTTCCCACATGTGTGTGAAGCCCATTTCTAGTGTCCCCTGCCGTGATATTGCTGGAATATTGCTAAACGTGGCGTAAATCTAAACTCACTCACCCACTCTCACTCAGTGCCATTCTTATCGCTTTAGAGGATATATCAGCATGGTTATTTTGATGATTAATGAAATTGAAACCAAGTTATTGATTTAAAAATGTTGTCTTTTCACATATTAAAGACTTTGATCATGGACAAACTAAGCTGATTTCATGATGATGATGATGATGACATGAGAGGGATACACTGTGATTGGATTTTCTGTGAATGATTGATATGTATTGATATGCTGCATCCTCTTTTGTCTTTGCTCTGGCTATTGACCACTGGTTCAGACCAGACCCATTTTATGTGCAGGCCTTCTGGCCTGGTGAGTATACCTCGTGTAGCTGAAGTATGTAAGGAGCTGCAGTAAACTGGGACTTTCCATCGGATATAAAATATAGAAGACAGGCATTGAGCAGCCTATGCTGGTCAAAGGGGACCATAAAGTAGACCAGGCCTTCAAATTTAGCTGACTGGGTGATGTCATACTACGATGGAGCAGATATTAACTCATACTGTCACTGGATTGTCTGCTCCAGTCTCAGATATTTACATGTCATATTGCTGGAGTATTGCTTATTGTTAAATAAAAGCTAACTCTCACTTTGTTCAGCTTCCTGATGACCTGGGCAGTGGGGTAGCCTAGTGGTTAAAGTATTTGCTCGTCATGCCGAAGACCCAGGTTTGATTTCTCACATGCGTACAATGTGTGTGTGAAGCCCATTCCTAGTGTCTCCTGCCATGATCATGATGATATTGCTGGAATATTGCTAAACATGCTGAAACTAAACTCACTCACACCTGATAACCCGTTTTTTTTGTTCATGATTATTTTTTTATCATGGGTCCCAGGTACCAAGCTTTTACACACATATTGTTCAGTTTACCCATTATCAGTGAATATGATTAGCCTGGCTTAAAAACTGTAGCTCTAGGGAACAAATATACTCAGCAGCAAAATAAAACGTCAGTACGAATTAAATTAGATAGGCACTGTAATCAAGTCATTACAGAAATGGACATAATAAGTGGATCAAAAATATTTTTGGTGTACAATATCCTGACATATCAATAACATATCAATGAATAACTCCAAGACATTACGTGAACGTTTGCAGTCCATTCAGACTCTTGACTTCAGTATCTAGTGTGACCACCACGAGCGGCAATAACTGCAGCACAGCGTCTATGCATGGAGTGCACCATTCGACTGATGAAGGCCTTTGGCACCTTGAACCACACTCTGAGAAAGGCCTGGCGCAATAAATTGGCTGTGTTCGGCCTTGGTAATGGTATGACATTATTCAGTCTCCTCTGAATTTCATCCCAAAGATGTTCAACTGGGTTTAAATCAGGACTAATGGCTGACCACTCCATAATGTTGACACCGTTCTGCTGTAGGAAGTCCCGTGTAGCTCTGGCAGTATGGGCCCGGGTGTTATGCTGGAAAATGTTGTTCAGGTGACATGCGAAATGTGGTATGACGTGGGGTCTGAGAGCTTGGTCGATGTAGCGCACCGCTGTGATGCCGCCTCCTCTCCCTGGACCAAGGTTCTGGAACACCACAGGACCCACTCTGTGGTTCAGGCCTATTCCACCCCATACCATGATGCTTCCACCTATTCTTCTCTTTCCATAACACATTGGTCTGAGTAACGTTGGCCACGTCGCCACCATATTCTTGTTCTGCCATCTGCAGTTGATACGCAGTACCAACTCTCATCTGTGAACAGAACAGTTCTCCATTGCCTGTATCGCCAGTTTTGGTGTTGTAGGGCAAACTGTAGACGTTGTTGCCGATGACGATTGGTGAGGGTAGGTCCACGGTAAGGTCTATGGCAATGGAGGTTCCCGCTGTTAAGACGTTGGCGTACTGTCTCAGTACTGATTGGTCTTTCATGTGTTCCCACTGTCTGGCGTGTTGTTTCGGATTCCTGCATGAAGGGATTCTGTACATGCTGTCTCACAACATGGCGCACTTGTCGTCTTGTGGTCACCGTTGGTCTGCCAGTACGGGGGCGATCATTTGTGGTGTTGGTGGCCCGGAAACGTTGCTGCAGCCTGTAGATGGTTCGAACATTGACCTAGAAGTGATTGGCAACAGCTTGTGCAGTGTGGCCAGCTTCAAGTCTTCCTAGTGCCTGGTTCCTCTGAGCTGTCGTGAGAAGGGACATCCTGCTGACGTTGTAATGTGAATGTTTCAACCACGTTTGGGGGTGCATTTTATAGTGCTGTTCCTTGTGAACAGCACATACAGCATGAGTTGCATGAAAAACATGGAGAACACCGTACCATCTCTGAGATCAAGTTAGTTGGAGATCAGGTAAAGTTGGAGATGTAAAAAATATACAATCAAAACATGAAAAGAGTTTACAGTTATCCGTTTCTGTGAAGGAAATTTCCAAACTGACGTTTTTTTTGCTGCTTAGTATATTTCACTGAAGATCAGGAAAATATGTCATCATGTTTCTTGTATTGGAATGCTATTTTGGTTTGTCTAGTCAGTGCCAAAATAATGTGTGACTGTGGGCCTAGTTGCCTCCAGTTGTATTATGAATGAACAGAGTTTTAACTAAATTTGGGTTCCTCACTTGTGACTACAGTCACAGACTGTCAGATATTGTTGGTATGTTATTCTGTGCTGTATAACATGGAACCATCACCATGTAGTTGTTGATTCTACCACTGTGTTGTGCAGGGCCCTGACCAACATGAAGGCTCGTCTGAAGGGAGCACAGAAAGGCCACAGTCTGCTGAAGAAAAAAGCTGACGCCCTCACACTGAGGTTCAGGGCCATCCTCAAGAAGATTATCGAGGTGAGAAAACTATTCATGAGATATTAGTCCTGTAAAATCATGCTGACACAGTGTTATATTCAGTGTTTCTTCCATATAAACATTTACAGTTTCTAAGACTGCCTATTTCCCTCAGAAATAGAGATTATTAACCAAGTGTGTTTCGGTATCATTAATATCATATATTAGAAATAGAAATTGTATTATGCGAGCCTTTGGTTCATATAATGTCATTCTTAAAATTACTCGAGAAAAAAAGAAGCAAATCGTACGTGAGTTTATATCAAGAGAATTGAGCATTCGCGTGTAAGAATACTTAGCGGTACACCAAGGTGAAGGTCATTCATGACGGCGGCATATGGTTGTGACTAGTTGCTAATACAGTGCAAGCATAACTCATGCTTAAAATAAGATCTTTCTGTCTAAAAAGAACAACAAAATCAGGCAGGTTTTTTTTGGTAGTGTTTCTATTTTCACTGCGGGTAATTACCTCATCAATATCAGTTTCTGATAACCTGACGGAATCGATTCGTATGGTCGTCTACTTTGTTGTGATTGATAGATCGAAATCCTTGGTTGGTACCTTTCTTAGACGATCGCCTGTCACTCGTGCCTAATAATCCGTACCTTCAATTTGAATGAAGTTCTCCGTTTCATGTTTTCCAAAGTCAATTACTACAGTAACGACTCCAGAACCTCTGTCATCAGTTCTTACAGAATCACCAATTTTGAGAATAGGGGCAGCCATGTTTGTTTACAAACTTGTCCACGCAATGTAAACTCGCGACGAAGTCATCAATGAAATGTTAAACGCTTTAGGATTCGCATGACATGTATGGAGCTTTTAGAAAGTAGTTCGTGGATTGACATAATTTGCATAGTAATCAGATTTGGATACCAAGTTTATCAGATTGCTTTATTGCACCGATAACACCCTCCATTAGATGATAATGGGTATATATCTGGCACACTTCATTAAATCGTATGGTATCATGGTTATACATTAGAACTGATAAAAACAAAGATGGAAGAAAATATGTAAACATGATAAATATTGTTTTGATAAACATTTTAGTGACACTGTTAACATGTTTAAAGTCAAATGTGATTAGGTCTTATTGAAGAATGATACTTAATGCACTGAAAACTTTGACTATATCTTGTAAAAAATGAAAGCAATCATGCCTCCATCAGCCTTTCAAACTCATGCTAGTCCAAAAGCCTGTAAAAACATGAGCAATCATGCAAAAGTGTGCTACTTGGAACTGCATCTGTAAACAGTAAAATATGTCAATATTAATTGCTGGATTGTCTGGCCCCAACTCTATTATTTACAGCCAGCCATCATGTAGCTGGAATATTGCTGAGTGTTACAGTAAACAACACACATACAAACCAGTGTTGCTGACATGGTTACTAATTGTTCTGATGATGACTTGTAGACCAAGATGTTGATGGGAGATGTGATGAAAGAGGCTGCCTTCTCTCTGGCTGAGGCCAAGTTCACAACAGGAGACTTCAACCATATTGTCCTGCAAAACGTCAACAAAGCTCAGATCAAAGTGAAAAACAAGAAGGAGAATGTGGCCGGTAGGTGACGCTCTACTGAAATAAGAGATCAGTGGAATATATTGGTCTAATGGTAGACTTAAACTGCAGCCTGTAATCTAATTGTAGTGTGTATGTTACGATGAGAAAATAAATTAACATTGTTTTGCTTTGCAGCCAGTTGAATGTTTGGAATGTTCATATAATGCTGATAAAGATGGGGAAAGGGTAACCATGGTAACCACAAAGTTACACAAGTGTAATTGTTATTGCTGACTGTTGATGGTTGGTATCAGATGAATGTTCCATAGCAAGTCCTGTTTAGGTGATATGGTTGAAATATTGTGAAAGCAACAGTGGCGTAAATCCATACGCTATCGAAAATTATTAGCTGATGTTTCTGTTGTAAAGGGCATATTCTAGGGGTGACTATTGAGGGGGGAAATACTATTACAATAGCGATAGTCAATTCCAAAATACTATTGCGACCAACTATTGCAATACGTTTTTCTCCTTAAATTGTCTCATTTAAAGTCATTCCCAAATGAATGTATAGTTTAGTATAGTGTTATGGATTTGCCAGCGTTGTTATTCAGTTTCAAACTCCAAGTTGCATGTGGTGTTTGCCGCCATGTTTGTTTAAGAGGTAACAGGAGCGGATAACTCAAAGTGAAAGTGAACAAATCTGGTACTTCCTGTATTTTGCGCTGCACATTTGTCAACAGAAGTCAATTACTAAACTATCAATAGTCACACATACTATGGATGCATCAATAGTTTTTCGTTTCAACCATTGAGTAATTGCTATCGGAGACTCAACAATTGCAATCCATAGATAGTTTGGTGCATCATTACAGCCCTAGCGTATTCATCATAGCATGATAATTCGTTCTAAGAATTGTTATCACTGTTTCTGTTGCCATCCAGGTGTGACTCTACCTAGCTTCGAGCACTACCAGGATGGGGCTGACTGTAAGTACTGACAACATCACCTGATCTATCCTTTTTCCCTTGGAATTTTCATCTGTGAAATTATATCTAAATATTGTCAGTGAATTGCTGAAGTCCTCATTAATATATTACTGTATTTGTTCTTACTTTTTGCACTTTTATATCTAAACTGTGATAGCTTTATGTTTGGTGTATTTGTACAGTTCTACATACAATTTCCCGTAATAAGAATTAATAGAGAATATGCCATTAACATTTAGGTTAAGAGCTGCACACGTTTGAACATTTCTAAAGTGCAGTTTGTAAAGATATTCAGCATTCAGGAAAAATAATACAGTGATAAGTTTCTATTGTTCTTATGAAGCTTACAGGAAATGAAATTTGAAATGCTTCTTAAAGAGTACATTTTCAATAAATATTCAAAACAAGGAATGATATGAAGTCAATAATGCGGCATTTGACTTGCAGCATATGAGTTGACGGGTCTGTCTCGTGGTGGCCAACAGATCGACAAGTTAAAGAAGAACTACGCTCGTGCTATTCAGCTGTTGGTGGAGCTAGCCTCCCTACAGACGTGTTTCGTCACCTTAGATGAAGTCATCAAAATTACCAATAGAAGAGTCAATGCTATTGAACATGGTGGGTTTTTAAAGCTAAGAAGACTGTTGTAGGAATGCTGGTTAGAAAAGGGTCCAAGCAAACTATGCTGGAAAATGAGAGGCAGATGTCAATCACTCTATAGGCTGCCATCCTATAGCTGGAATATTGCTCCATGATTAAGTAGCATCCCAATTGTATAGATCGATGCTCATGCTGTTGATCACTGCATTGTCTAGTCCAGACAAGGGCCTAGATTTTCGAAGCTCTCTTAGCGCTAAGATAGCCGTAAGTTAATGTTAATGAATGGCACGTATGACTATCTTAGCTCTAAGACTAGTAAGAGTGCTTCGAAAATCTAGGCAGTGATTATTTGCAAACCGCCACCATATAGCTGGAATATTTCTGAGTGCGGTGTTAAACTACAAACAAAACAAATTAAAGCAGCAAATATGTAAATGCTAAGATTGGGAAATGGAGTTATCTCCCTTTGTATTGATATGTCTTGAGTCTTTGTTTCATGGACATAGCTGTTCCAAGGCAACACATTTCACTTTGACTGGGTACATGATTTGTATACTTCAATGAAAAATACATACTATATGGGTAGAAATTATAAAGAGAACAGATAGAGACAAATATGTTTGAATGTTATCTTGATAAACAATGTAAATGACACTGGTATTTTGAAAGATAGAATAGTCCACTAACAGACTCGTTTATGTTTTTCCTTACAAATATATACTCAGCAGCAAATAAATGTCAGTACGAATTCAAAATTAGATTGACACATCAATGAATAATTCAGCACAATTCCAAGACATGACGTGAACGTTTGCAGTCCATTCAGACTCTTGACTTCAGTATCTAGTGTGACCACCACGAGCGGCAATAACTGCAGCACAGCGTCTATGCATGGAGTGCACCAATCGATTGTTGAAGGCCATTGGCACCTTGAACCACACTCTGAGAAAGGCCTGGCTGTGTTCGGCCTTGGTATGACATTATTCAGTCTCCTCTGAATTTCATCCCAAAGATGTTCAACTGGGTTTAAATCAGGACTGGCTGGCCACTGCATAATGTTGACACCGTTCTGCTGTAGGAAGTCCCGTGTAGCTCTGGCAGTATGGGCCCAGGCGTTATTATGCTGGAAAATGTTGTTCAGGTGACGTGCGAAATGTGGTATGAAGTGGGGTCTGAGAGCTGGTCGATGTAGCGCACCGCTGTAATGTCGCCTCCTCTCCTGGACCAACACAGTACCCACTCTCTGGTTCAGGCCTATTCCATCCCATACCATGATGCTTGCACCTCCCCATGAGTCTCTTTCCATAACATATTGGTCGGACTCTGAGTAATGCTGGCCCAGTCGTCGCCATATTCTTGTTCTGCCATCTGCAGTTGATACGCAGTACCAACTCTCATCTGTGAACAGAACAGTTCTCCATTGCCTGTATCGCCATTGACTTTAGATGTTGATGCCGATTACGAGGGGTGAGGATAGGTCCACAGTAAGGTCTACGGCAATGGAGGTTCCCGCTGTTAAGACGTCGGCGTACTGTCTCAGTACTGATTGGTCTTCCGTGTGTTCCCACTGTCTGGCGTGTTGTTTCGGATGCCTGCATGAAGGGATTCTGTACATATTGTTGCACAACATGGCGGTCATGTCGTCTTCTGGTCACCCTTGGTCTGCCAGTACGAGGGCGATCATTTGTGGTGTTGGTGGCCCTGAAACGTTGCTGCAGCCTGTAGATGGTCCGATCGGTGACCTGGAAGTGATTGGCAACGGCTTGTGCAGTGTGGCCAGCTTCAAGTCTTCCTAGCGCCTGGTTCCTCTGAGCTGTCGTGAGAAGGGGCATCCTGCCGACGTTGTAATGTGAATGTTTCAACCAAGTTTGGGGGTGCATTTATAGGGCTGGTCCTTGTGAACAACACATGCAGCATGAGTTGCATGAAAAACATGGAGAACACCGTACCATCTCCGAGATCAGGTTGCGTTTTTGAGACCATTTCCTGGGTTCCATTCTGAGTTTGGGAAGGAATGTCTTTGCTCAGGTAAAGTTGGAGATGTTGTCAAAAATATACAATCAAAACATGAAATGAGCTTACAGTTATCCGTTTCTGTGAAGGAAATTTCCAAACTGACGTTTCTTTTGCTGCTGAGTATATAAATAGGCTGTAGGCCCAGTGGTTTAACCATTTGTTCATCAGTGGTGTCTGCCAGGGGTTGATTCCCCAAATGTGGGAATGATTGGATTTTGCTGACAGCAGTGTAAGAGCATACTAATCATATATTATTGTTGACAAGTGTTTTGTGATAAGTTGGCAACCAGCCTGTGACTCAATGTATCATATTGGCATCTTTGGTATGTATGAATAATGACAATTTTAATTTTCAGTTATCATTCCACGAATTGAGAAAACTATATCATACATCACAACTGAATTAGACGAACGTGAGAGAGAAGAGTTCTACAGGTATGTGTGGATTAGGATGAAGGCAATATATATCATGTTGTACATGTACCTAGTATTTCCCATCTCTGAAGAACCGTGTTAGATTGACCAATCAGGCATATCATGGCAGCCTGTAACTGTGTAGGGTAGACAAACAATCATGTACAACTGTGAGCAAGACCCTCATTCAAAAGGCAATCATGGTACTTTGACAGTCATAAGTCAGGGCAATTACAGGAGTTTACCACATTGTAGAAACATGGTCATGGCTGCACATGTAGTCACCATACAATCAGGAGATAAACCTGCTTTTTTCATTAATGTGAGTTACTGTGACATTGACCAGTTAAGATCCAGGTTAGAATTGGTCTTCAGCAACCCATGCTTGTCGTAACAGGCGACTAACGGGATCGGGTGGTCAGGCTCGCTGACTTGGTTGGTGCAGGTCATCGTTTCCCAGCTGCGTATATTGATGCTCATTATATCAATCACTGGATTGTATGGTCCAGACTCAGTTATTTAAAGACCGCTGTCATATAGCTGGAATAATGCTGAGTGCAGTGTTAAACAAACAAACAGTATTTTCACAGAGGGAGGTACAATGGGTTGCCTAAGTAAGGTTTTAACTGCTATATTAATACAAGATGTTGCTTCACAAATGATCATCGTGGAACTTTTGCTGGGGTTCAAATTTATACCCTGAACCATTGTCTATTAACTTACAAAATCTGGTTCCCTATATTACATTTGCTGGCAACATACCCATACTTATTGGTTTCACCCAAGAGGTAAATGTCTCCGATCTGCCTCACTTCAGGCTTTCCTCCCATGTTATGGGACACAGTCATATTTCTGAAATACTGTTAAACCCAACTTACTGACTGGAATATTGCACAAGGCAGTACAAACCTGGGATTCTCACTTACTCAACATCACAGTGCTGGTTAATTCTGACACCAAGTTCCTTCTTTCAGGGGGAGAGTGGGATAGCCTAGTGGTTAAAGCGTTCGCTCGTTATGCTGAAGACCCAGGTTTGATTCCCCACAAAAAATGTCTGAAGCCAATCTCTGGTGTCCCCTGCCGTGATATTGCTGGAATATTGCTACAGCGGCGTAAACCCTAAACTCACTCACTCGTTCCTTCTTTCAGACTGAAGAAGATCCAGGAGAAGAAGAAGAAGTTGAAGATAGCTGCTGCAGAGCTTCAGGCCAAGCGGAAGAAGGAGATCGGGCTGGAGAACCAGCAGGCAGCTGATCTGCTGGCAGATGACCATGATGAAGATCTGCTGTTCACCGACTAGTCCCTGCTATAGTTGCTGTATGTTAACGAGGAACATGTTCGGGTAGGGATGAGTACCACTTGTTTGGAATGGAAGGTCATTGATTTACGAATGTTACTGCTACTTTTTGTTACTAACTTTTGTTTTGGTTTTTAACTACATGGCATTTTAGTCATATACAGTCCATGTAAATTGGAAATTCTGAACTGCTGTAAGATCTAAATGTATTATGAAATTAAAGGGCGATATTTGCAGTATTTAAATGTTCTGTTTGACCAAAGTGTTGTTGAACAGTTTGTAATTTTGGATTCCATAAACGATATTTGATTAACATTCGAACCAGTGAGAACAAAGTGAAAATGTAATGGCTTTGAATTCAGAAGTTATAACTTTTTCTGGTGAAGGAAACAAGATATTGGAAATAGTTCTTGTCAGATGTAGGAATTTTGAACTGTGATTTTCATATTGCTTGAGATGACATTATCCATCAGTAAAATAAACTGTGATAAAATGACTATATAATCTTGTTTTTCACAGAAACTTTACTGAATTATGTTTGAGAATGTTCCCAGTAAATTTATTTAAATGTTAAGAGTAACTTCAGGTTTACTTGTTTATATTTCTTTATTGTCAAGTTTGTGTTTTCAATGTACTTACGTAAACTAACGATACTGATCTAGTCAGGGTCATCCGACAGCAGTAATTTCAGTGTAAATTTCTGTTAAATAGGTGTTAAGTCTGTTGCCTAAAAAACAATCTCAGAGTTAAAACTTGTTCTGTCCTTGTTCTATAAAGATGGAGTGAATGAATGAAAGATGCTTGTGACATATCCATGATGGCAGTATGAGGTTTATGTTATCATTGTAGCTATAGCATGTATATTACTATTAGCACAGCACACAGTGTATTTATGTAACCATGGTAACTGTAAACATGTCTGTATATGCCGGAGTGGAATGATTCTTGTCAACATGGCTGTGATGGTGGACATTTTGTTGATTTTGTACTGTGAATATGATATGTATTGTATATCTGAGGAGTCATTGCAACCTTGTTAACTACGGAGCTTCATCTAATAAAGACTATCAGTCATCTTTTTGGCGATCAAATTCTACGATTGGCAACCATGAATTATTCTTGTGTCAAAACATTGATGGCTACTATGTTTTCTTGTGTGTATTACGCATGTTTCTTTATTTGACAAAGTATTTCCTGTTTCACATTTGTTGAGACTGCGATTATCATGTCGCGCCGTCATAAACATCGGAAACAGCAAATATATGTTAGAGGCAGAATCATTATTAACATCTGTTCTAATATCTACATTCCGGCTTGTCTCATGCCATGGGGCTCTAGGTATTTGTGATAGTCCACAAAACTCCAAGATAACAAGGTTTCACTGTAAAATATGCTGTCGATAGATTGAACAACATGCAGCTTCACACCAGAAAGTTTAAAAATTATGGATTCAATTTTATGTATAACCAGGGGTAGGTAGTAAGTTTTGGTTGAAGGTGTGTAGGTTAATATGGTGATAAAATGTCCTCAGTGATTCTTAAAGGATGGCCAGAGTATTCACCAATACTTGAAGCATCCTTGCCAAATCAGATTGCAACTGATCAATCATGTCGCTCAGTTTCCTGTGGGCGTTTAGAGATTGTAATCTAAATCTGGGGTTGTAAGTCAGTGCAACATGGATGTTTATGTGTTATGTCTGCACCACCAAGGTACAGATATAAAGACTATGCTGAAAGTCAGTCATCCATAGTGTACAGATGGTTCTGTAGGGTCTTCCTCATTCAAGCACTTCTAATCCCAATCTCAGTGTCATAGTGTTTTGTAATGATCATTTGCCCATGTAGCAATCTTTTGGGACGGTATTGAAAGACTGATTTGTCAATGTTGACTTGTCCATTGAGAGATCTGTTAAGTATTTGTTATTTTATAATATTTGTTTCATCTTGATGTGCTTCTCTGTGTCCTAGCAACAGGCCATGTTGGGAGCAGGTATGGAGCTAGTGATGCTAGTTATAAAGGCATGGACTTTATAGAGGATGTAGTCAGCATGATTCAAGCCCGATGATCAACCAGAAATAAATCAACTATGATACAATCAAATTTTGTTGTTTTTTCAAGATTTTATCCTATTTATGGAATTATATGTGCATAATTTGTAGGAATTGTTTGTTTTCATTATCATTGAGCCGTAACTTGGATCTGCAAAAGTCCCAGTGATGTTGATGCTGAATAACTGATCCCTACAGATGGAGGCACCTGCATGGACACAGAAGGACATGTAACTGGAATCAATAGATAACAAGCATAGTCACTTAGGTGACATAATCCCCCGCCGCAAATTATCAAATGAAACTCAAAAAGGAATGAAAGTGAACGTTGTAATTTAAGATGAAGTTAAATGTCAACAATGACATGACCAGTCAACCTCTCTTGATATCTTGCTCTGTAGTTGTGCAAAGGCACAAATAGTTTTCAAGACTCACTTTGACCTTAACATGAATGTCATAGTGTACGAAATATGCAAAAATAGTAATAAAGAAATTGCTTATTGTAAAACATTCAAGGGGAAGTCTTGAAAGTCTATGAAGAAAATCCAGTGAATTGTTCTTCAGATATCTCGCTGACAATCTTAACATGCAGTTTAAGATGCTGAAATCTTCAAAGTGTCACAGTGACCTTGAAAATTAAGTGAAGGTCACCAAAATAGACTGGGCCCTGCACCTTCCCTAGATGAAGCTTGGTGTCAAATATGAAGAAAGTCCAATGAACGGTTCTTGAGGTATCTCACTGACAAGCTTAACATGCAGCTTAACATGCTGAAATCTTCAAAGTGTCACCATGACCTTAAAAATTAAGTGAAGGTCACCAAAATCGACTGGGCCCTGCACCTTCCCTAGATAAAGCTTGGTGTTGAATATGAAGAAAATCCAGTGAACAGTTCTTGAGATAGCTCGCTGACAAGGGTAAAACTTTAAAGTCCCCTTGTGACCTTGAAATAAATAGACTAAATAACCAAACAGCAGCTGTATTTACAGAAATACTTTGTCTTGTCTGGTGTTCAGGTGTTTACTAAAGATTCTGTCAGATTATACTGCAGTAATGATGATACTTATTCATTATCAATCTTGCTACTCGACTTCAGACGATATACTCACCTCACCTTCACAGATACAATTTGTACAGTACAGTGGTTGAAGGTTAAACAGTGTGTAAACCTAACAATAGGATGAACAAGAGGGACAGCCATTCAGCTGGAACATTTAGCACGGCTGAAATAGTGGGGATAGTATTAGTTTGTGACAGACTACTTGCCACTATCCTCACAAGCAGTGTGCGAAATAGCCACTGGCCCGCTAGCCCGTGTCTAGTAAAAATTCAGTCGTGCCAGTAAAACTGGCCCGACTAGCTAGTGAATTTTCATGGGATCATTTTGTAAATATATCACTCTCTCCGACATGTTAAGTTATAATACACTTTTAAATCATGCAAGATTATGGCCTGATAAAAAAGTTCATTATATTAGCAGCTTAATGATGAAACCCATGTCTACATTCAAATTTCGGGCTAGTGAATTATTTTGTGGGCTAGGAACTTTCAGACATAGCTAGCCCGACTGGCTAGCAAAATTTGGAAACTATTTCGGACACTGCTCACAAGTAGTATTGAGTTTCATCATCTCTAGGTCTGAGATGTTTAGAGACACAAATGTTGATACTGAGTGCAAGGAAAGTAAATCAGGACAAGATAAAAGGCATGTACTTTTATTCATTGCTATTATCACTATTACATAGTTGATCATTATGGTCCAATAAACATAACATTAACAAAAACAAGTCTATTGCTCTGTGAGTATTATAAACACACACAGAACAACTGATGAATATGAGAAATAATTGCATTACAGATATAAATGCTGTGTTGTGTATTTAATGGAAGATGGAGATGCATATGATCCAGGGGTGGAAATAACTTTAAAATTGATAGTGTACTGACAATTTTCCCACTATACTGACCGTTTTCTTGCTGATTTTATAAATAAACAACATAATTAACATTGGAAATTCAACTGGACACCGGTACAGTGTCATATACAAATTTGCTTGCCCGACAAAAAAAACCACTGGACTCGGACGTCGGGCAATGGGTTATTTCCACCCCTGTGATCCCAAATCTGCTGCAAGCTCTGGCATTTGTACTGTTTGATCAAATCACATAAAGTGAAATGAAATTCTTAAATAACATGATAATCAGCCAAACCTCCATCTGATCCAGTCTGTTGCTTCTTTTGACCAGCTCAGGCAGAGAAGCAGCCAGCACGTGATGCAAGGGGCCTTCTTTAATCCAGAAATTAAAACATGAGTAGAACTAGACTACAACAGTGCTGTACAGTGTGTGCTGTCTAGTAAGGTGAAGTGATGGAAGACTAGATCTGTCTCTTGTTGCTGGTAATATCCTCCTGCAGACTGTTAATCATCCTGAAATACCAAACATGTCACTAGGTAAACTTGTCACCATCAACATGGAACATCCTTGAAACACATAATGTCTGCTCTGTTTCATCAACAAGATATTAACTTGGAAACAATAATTTTTAGGGTTTTACTGTATCAATTACTGAATTACTGTCTCATGAAATTAATGCACTTTTGTCCAGTATAAATCCTCTGACTAATTCTAGACCAATTAGTAAGTATATATGGTAAAATATATTATGTTTTGTTGGGTGAGTTGAAATTTAATGTTGTATCAGTTTTGTTTCAACCCTTATGGCGACAAATTTTGTTTTGGGATCATCAGGGATGTTGTACTGACCCACTCATCATCTGCGACCTCACTCTCCTGTGGTGTGGTGTCGGAGGCTGCTGACTTGATGTTCATGATCTTGTCTGTCCAGGACGCTCCCACGGCCTCCCCACCAGCGTAGTTGGACACGGTGGCTGACTCATTCTCCACCTTCCCAATGCTCACTGCACCATACATGTATATACGTAATAAAGATGTCACACATATGTTAGATTAGAGACTTTAACTTTGGGCCCACAACACGGTGGAGAATTGATTGAGAGATTTTCAAACCATCTTTTCATACACGCTTCAACTTAATTTTTCCAAGTGAAGATTTTTTTATTGGTGTCTACTCTATTTTAAAGAAAATCAGTTATTCTAGATAATAAAATATATACATACCACATATGCAAAACAAAACAAAGAAACGGAAACTTTGGAAAAAATGTGTTTTTGTTCCAATATTCCGGCTACATGATAACAATCTGTAAATAATTTAAGTCTGGCCCAGACAATCCAGTGATTGATCTTGTGGGAATGATCCACGGTGGCATGCATCAACCAAGTTAGTGAGTCTGACCATCTCAATAAATTAATCGCCCTTTTGGACCAGCTCTGATTCTTGAAAACTAATTCCAAGCTAAATCTTCATTCAGTTCCAATATGTGTGTTATGTACAGGTAATACTGACAATGACAGATGTGGATTTGTTTTCAAGGGTGTCCTTCAAGACACAGACGAGTGCACTTTGGAATTTAAGCGTGCCAACAAAGAGTACACCTTTCATATGTCTTCTTTATCACTGAGGTTCATGATATTCTTTTCAAGTCTGGAATTTCTAGATTAAATATAGTACAAGGAATCTATCAATGAATCAAGAAATACCCTGGAAACATGTCCACAATCACTTACAAACAAATGGACTGTTTCCCCGTGTCTTGACCCTGACTGAGTCGTCAGTGCCCAGCTCCATCTTGTCCAGCTGAGCTTCCTCCACCCACAAGCCCACACTGCCTGGGATTCTATGCTTTGTACTGATTGAGGTCAGTTCTGGACTTGACACAAGGGCAGATAACTCTTGATCTGTCAACTTGTCTGTGGTGCCTTTGGCTTCTGTTTCTGTGAAAACGGAACACTGACTTGAAAACACAATGTCTTTTAAAAGTTGTCAAATGTGAAACAATGTTATACTTGTGATGACATTTTCTAGCAAAGTACTAATTACAGTACTTTTGGGTGTTGAGTATTAACCTACACAATCTGATCCAATCACACACTGCCAATGTTGCCAATAAAGTGCCTCACTCTCAGAGTGTGGGTTTAAACAACACCCAGAAGAATGAGAATTTGTACTTTTTCTAAGAAAATGTAACCTTTGGAACATTGATTTGTTTCCTGAACTTATATTATACATCAACATTCCTGAACTTGGCAGCAGTTCTGTTTTGATTAATTAACTTATTTCTCATATAACATATAACTTCCTTCAGTTTATCTTTACATTTTTCTTTAAATATTCAACTAAACCTGCATTATCTAATTTCAAACTAATTTGAATATGTAAACATATAGATCTATGCAATCATGCAAATTGTTTAAAAGTAGAAACATATAATATAGCCTTGGTCAGGTAAACCAGTGGTTGATAGTGTGATCACCATCATATAGCACTCTTGTATTATGATGATCAGCCTATCACTGAGCCTGCCACCTGTCCCTATTTCAGCCAGCCTTTCTGACATGAATGGGGGACTGGAGACTTATCCTGTCTCGTGCTCATGCGCTCATAAGAAGGGTCATCTATCTGTGTCAAATGAAGTACAGGTGCTGGACACTCACTGTATGAGGAGTTGAGATACCCTTTAGATATTTTGGTCGTCTCACTAAAATTTGGTTCAATCTCTTTCCCTGAGCTATCAAACTTCCTTCTGTGAGCTCGCTGAGTCTGTACCTGAAAGACGTAGTACCTCACCTGAAAGTAAACATAATATTTGTTGTATTAATGATCAAGTGTCTTTATAACAATAATTCAGGGGTGGAAATAACTTTAAGATTGCTAGTGTACTCTGGTACAGTGGCACATGTAAAATCACTTGCCCTGATAATTTTCCCACTGTACCGGCAGTTTTCTTGTTGATTTTTTAAATAAACAACATAATTAACATTGGAGAGTCAACTGGACACCGGTACAGTGTGATATACAAATCTGCTTGCCCGACAGAACAAATCACTGGACTCGGACGTCGGGCAATGGGTTATTTTCACCCCTGAACATATTAGGGAGATGGTTCTAAATTACTTAAAATAAGAGGTACCGAATCTACAGTGAGAGTACCTGTATCAGAGGTCACAATGTATATCAGGACATAACTAGTGCAATAATTACCTCAACCTGACCTCACTGACTTTTCAACAGCAACTAAAAGGCTATTGCACTCTTGTTGAAATCGTTGTGTATTACATGTATGACAACACGCTTCTTTCTGTTGTTCAATGCAGTACTCAGCAGTTCCCAGCTATATGACATCGGTCTGTTCACAAAGGAGTACCTAGTAAAACTACCTAAAACAAATTCTGTCTCATCCTCCATATCTCTAGGCTCACATTTCAGTATACCTACACTTACTCCTGGATTCAGTCTCTTGTTACTTGTAATCTCAAATTACCCACCCTTGATTTTCACTTGCCAAAATGTTTGGTTCAGCTATTAGGTCTTACGTACCAGTACAGTAGGAATGGTATTTACAAATGTCAATGTTCAGATAGCCACATCAACAACATGACGGCCAGTTCCACAGATGTGTATCAATTTAAAATGAGTTACTTCCCTTACCCCAAGAAAAGATGCAGGGGTTAGTGCAGGTTTACCAGAAAGCTAGCGATGGAGATACGGAGGATGATTCTGCCTGCCCTATTTAGGTATCTGTCCATGGTGTAACTGGTACCCATCGCTTTTATCGCCTGAACTGAGTAGGCCAGGCCCAGTGGGACAACTCACTTTTTTGAGGTCCTTGTCTGTGACGCAGTACCTTGCTTTGCCCTTGATGACACCCTCCAGAATCACACCGGGGCCGTCTCTGCAACATCACTGCAACAGTCACGTCTTTGTATCCATGTGCATGTTATCAACTCATTCAGTGACACCATGGTAAACTCACAGTGTCCAAACTTTTAGAAAATCAACAGAGGCAACAGGCAGACTGAGCATTTTTTTTAGAAAACTTAAAAGCCTGACAGGGAAATTCATGCAATAACCTTTATGATTTTTTTTTTTCTGCAAACAACATAGTTGCAATTAAGATGTAGATTTATCATGAAGACAGAGATCTATGGGCACAGAGGTTGTTGTTGAGGATTTAAATCTTAAAGTACACGAGTACTCAAGCAGTACATCATCTCTCATTACTAAATTCATGGACACTTCTAAAGTCGGATTAAAGATTTTGTGGCTCTTAGTAGTTGTTAATCTTGTGTAATCCGACAAGAATGACATATATCTGGCTGCAGACACATCTTGAAAAGACGTTCATGCTTAACCACTGATCACGATCCCGTTAGAAATTTTCCAGTGACAGCTTGGCTAGCAGGAATAAATTAGGTGAGACCAATTCAAACTGCAAAGACTGTAAATTGTGTCAATTAATAAAGGAATAACGTCCTACCAGGTTTTATGTGCAAAAGTATGTATGCTTTACTTGCTTTGTGCACTCTAACACAGAATCCCATGTTGTCTTCACACTGACATTGTCGACTGGTAGATTTGCAAGGGGTTGGTTATGGTAGATTCTGCTCATGGTGCCCAGAATCGTCCAACATACAACAGATTACTGTTGATACTCTCCGGCAGGTGTTCTCAGCTGAGTGTACTTCCGTGTTTTCTGAGAGGTTGGAGTTACGCCCCCTTGACTGACTGTTGTTACCGAGCGGGAAGACGCGCGTGGTGATGACTTTGAGAAAGGTGTGTGTGTGTGTATGTGTGCGTGCGTGTGTGCGTGCGCACGCACACTCTTGAGACAGGGGGTGCACACTTCATTTTCACAAGTGTTTCAATGGCCATTAGATAAACTTTCAGGACAAAAATGGGGGTGCGCACCCCTGCATCCCGCCTCTGGTTCCGTCTATGTAAAGAGGGCATAAAAAACGATTCTGTAGTGAAAGCTTTATTTTCAACAGCCGTCAAACGCTAATTTCACACAGGCATGCACGCGCGCGCACGCACGCACTCACGCACGCACACACGCACGCCAAAAACCAACCCCCCACCCCCCCAAAAAAAAATCCCCTCAAACATGCGACACTCAATGCGATTGCCAAATCCGTCAGGAAGTTTGAAATTTACCAATTCAACAGAGGGCCCTATAGAAAGGCACATGTAAAACTGGAAAAAAGGCCCACAATGAAACAATCAAGATACAGTACGTTGAGCAATGGAATTTTCATAACTAGGATGTGTATAGTAGTATATAATTACTTGGGTAGGGATCAACCACAGGGGCGTGTTTATAGCTAACAGTATCTCCACCTATAACTAATAACTTTACATGTGCATCAAAGGGGTGTGTTTATAACTAACAGTAAGTTCAGTTATAACTAATAACTTTACATGTGCACCACAGGGGCGTGTTTGTAGCTAACATTACATTCAGTTATAACTAATAACTTTACATGTGCATCAAAGGGGCGTGTTTATAACTAACAGTACGTTCAGTTATAACTAATAACTTTACATGTGCATCAAAGGGGCGTGTTTATAACTAACAGTATGTTCAGTTATAACTAATAACTTTACATGTGCCTCACAGGGGCGTGTTTATAACTAACAGTACGTTCAGTTAAAACTAATAACTTTACATGTGCATCAAAGGGGCGTGTTTATAACTAAAAGTTCGTCCACCTATAACTAATAACTCTACATGTGCATCACAGGGGCGTGTTTATAACTAACAGTACGTTCAGTTATAACTAATAACTCTACATGTACATCACAGGGGCGTGTTTATAACTAACAGTACGTTCAGATATAACTAATAACTCTACATGTGCATCACAGGGACGTGTTTATAACTAACAGTACGTTCAGTTATAACTAATAACTCTACATGTGCATCACAGGGGCGTGTTTATAACTAACAGTACGTTCAGTTATAACTAATAACTCTACATGTACATCACAGGGGGCGTGTTTATAACTAACAGTACGTTCCACCTATAACTAATAACTCTACATGTGCATCACAGGGGCGTGTTTATAACTAACAGTACGTCCACCTATAACTAATAACTCTACATGTAACTCATCACAGGGGCGTGTTTATAACTAACAGTACGTTCAGTTATAACTAATAACTCTACATGTACATCACAGGGGCGTGTTTATAACTAACAGTACGTTCACCTATAACTAATAACTCTACATGTACATCACAGGGGCGTGTTTATAACTAACAGTACGTTCAGTTATAACTAATAACTCTACATGTGCATCACAGGGGCGTGTTTATAACTAACAGTACGTTCAGTTATAACTAATAACTCTACATGTGCATCACAGGGGCGTGTTTATAACTAACAGTACGTTCACCTATAACTAATAACTCTACATGTGCATCACAGGGGCGTGTTTATAACTAACAGTACGTCCACCTATAACTAATAACTCTACATGTGCATCACAGGGGCGTGTTTATAACTAACAGTACGTTCAGTTATAACTAATAACTCTACATGTACATCACAGGGGCGTGTTTATAACTAACAGTACGTCCACCTATAACTAATAACTCTACATGTACATCACAGGGGCGTGTTTATAACTAACAGTACGTTCACCTATAACTAATAACTCTACATGTACATCACAGGGGCGTGTTTATAACTAACCACCTATAACTACATTTACATGTCACATAAGTGTTTATAACTAACAGTACATGTAATAACTAATAACTCTACATGTACGGGGCGTGTTTATAACTAACAGTACGTCAGTTATAACTAATAACTTTACATGTGTCAAAGGGGCGTGTTTATAACTAACAGTACGTTCAGTTAAAACTAATAACTTTACATGTGCATCAAAGGGGCGTGTTTATAACTAAAAGTTCGTCCACCTATAACTAATAACTCTACATGTGCGTCACAGGGGCGTGTTTATAACTAACAGTACGTTCAGTTATAACTAATAACTTTACATGTACATCACAGGGGCGTGTTTATAACTAACAGTACGTCCACCTATAACTAATAACTCTACATGTGCATCACAGGGGCGTGTTTATAACTAACAGTACGTTCAGTTATAACTAATAACTCTACATGTGCATCACAGGGGCGTGTTTATAACTAACAGTACGTCCACCTATAACTAATAACTCTACATGTACATCACAGGGGCGTGTTTATAACTAACAGTACGTTCAGTTATAAGTAATAACTCTACATGTACATCACAGGGGCGTGTTTATAACTAACAGTACGTCCACCTATAACTAATAACTCTACATGTACATCACAGGGGTGTTTTTAACTAACATAACAGTACGTCCACATTATATAACTAATAACTCTACATGTGCATCTACATGGGCATCACAGGGGCGTGTTTATAACTAACAGTACGTCCACCTATAACTAATAACTCTACATGTACATCACAGGGCGTGTTTATAACTAACAGTACGTTCACCTATAACTAATAACTCTACATGTACATCACAGGGGCGTGTTTATAACTAACAGTACGTCCACCTATAACTAATAACTCTACATGTGCATCACAGGGCGTGTTTATAACTAACAGTACGTTCACCTATAACTAATAACTCTACATGTACATCACAGGGGCGTGTTTATAACTAACAGTACGTTCAGTTATAACTAATAACTCTACATGTGTTTACATCACAGGGCGTGTTTATAACTAACAGTACGTTCACCTATAACTAATAACTCTACATGTGCATCACAGGGGCGTGTTTATAACTAACAGTACGTTCAGTTATAACTAATAACTCTACATGTGCATCACAGGGGCGTGTTTATAACTAACAGTACGTCCACCTATAACTAATAACTCTACATGTGCATCACAGGGGCGTGTTTATAACTAACAGTACGTTCAGTTATAACTAATAACTCTACATGTACATCACAGGGCGTGTTTATAACTAACAGTACGTCCACCTATAACTAATAACTCTACATGTGCATCACAGGGGCGTGTTTATAACTAACAGTACGTTCAGTTATAACTAATAACTCTACATGTACATCACAGGGGCGTGTTTATAACTAACAGTACGTCCACCTATAACTAATAACTCTACATGTGCATCACAGGGGCGTGTTTATAACTAACAGTACGTTCACCTATAACTAATAACTCTACATGTACATCACAGGGGCGTGTTTATAACTAACAGTACGTCCACTTATAACTAATAACTCTACATGTACATCACAGGGGCGTGTTTATAACTAACAGTACGTTCACCTATAACTAATAACTCTACATGTACATCACAGGGGCGTGTTTATAACTAACAGTACGTCCAGTTATAACTAATAACTCTACATGTACATCACAGGGGCGTGTTTATAACTAACAGTACGTCCAGTTATAAGTAATAACTCTACATGTGCATCACAGGGGCGTGTTTATAACTAACAGTACGTTCACCTATAACTAATAACTCTACATGTACATCACAGGGGCGTGTTTATAACTAACAGTACGTCCACCTTTATAACTATTAACTCTACATGTGTGCATCACAGGGGCGTGTTTATAACTAACAGTACGTCCACTTATAACTAATAACTCTACATGTACATCACAGGGGCGTGTTTATAACTAACAGTACGTTCACCTATAACTAATAACTCTACATGTGCATCACAGGGGCGTGTTTATAACTAACAGTACGTTCAGTTATAACTAATAACTTTACATGTGCATCAAAGGGGCGTGTTTATAACTAAAAGTTCGTCCACCTATAACTAATAACTCTACATGTGCGTCACAGGGGCGTGTTTATAACTAACAGTACGTTCAGTTATAACTAATAACTTTACATGTACATCACAGGGGCGTGTTTATAACTAACAGTACGTCCACCTATAACTAATAACTCTACATGTACATCACAGGGGCGTGTTTATAAGTAACAGTACGTTCAGTTATAACTAATAACTCTACATGTACATCACAGGGGCGTGTTTATAACTAACAGTACGTCCACCTATAACTAATAATTCTACATGCACATCACAGGGGCGTGTTTATAACTAAACAGTACGTTCTGTTATAAGTAATAACTCTACATGTGCATCACATGGGGCGTGTTTATAACTAACAGTACGTCCACCTATAACTAATAACTCTACATGTACATCACAGGGGTGTGTTTATAACTAACATTACATTCAGTTATAAGTAATAACTCTACATGTGCATGACAGGGGCGTGTTTATAACTAACAGTACGTCCACCTATAACTAATAACACTACATATACATCACAGGGGCGTGTTTATAACTAACAGTACGTCCACTTATAACTAATAACTCTACATGTACATCACAGGGGCGTGTTTATAACTAACAGTACGTCCACTTATAATCATTAACTCTACATGTACACCACAGGGGCGTGTTTATAACTAACAGTACGTCCACGTATAATCATTAACTCTACATGTACATCACAGGGGCGTGTTTATAACTAACACTACGTTCACCTACAACTAATAACTCTACATGTACATCACAGGGGCGTGTTTATAACTAACAGTACGTTCACCTATAACTAATAACTCTACATGTACATCACAGGGGCGTGTTTATAACTAACATTACATTCATTAATAAGTAATAACTCTACATGTGCATCA